GGGGGGGTCTAAAGCAGAGAAAAAGACAGTGAGTGCGGAGGTAATTAAGCCTTGGGAAAATTATCAAATAAAAACCTTGGCAGATTTACTTAGAGAGTGCGCCGATGTGCGAAAATAAAGGTCGATTGATTTTAACTGGATTGTTGGACCTGTTTGGGTTATCAACAGGCTTGATTTAAAACCTCGCAAAGTCTTTCAGATAATTAGCGGTTAATTGAACCACAATCATAATACCCCATCACTGTTTTGATTATTCTTATTTGAATCTCTAGTAGCAATTGTTTGATGATTATTTTAGAAAATGTGTTTGTTTTTTAGGCAGTTTAAACGCATTTGAACCTGCATATTAGATTTGGAACCTCAAAGACCTACATATACAGAAAACTGTTCTGGTTGAAGACAGATTGTCTTTATTCAAAAATGCCTTTGCTCAAATTTTGAACAAAGGCCAGGAGGTATCACCCTTCCAGATACATCATCCTTTCCATAACATGACAGATTTTTCAATGACCATCTCAGATAGAAAGTATACATAGAACTCCGCGGATTAAAATGACCCTCAAACTTAAATCAAAGTTTAAAAAACAGAAGAGAAACTCAAATTAGCGAGGGACTCTATTTGCAATAAACCACAGGAAAAATGCAAAATGAAACACTAGAATGATTTTTGTAATCCTCCTTTTGTAATCTTAAATAGAGTGTCTACTTCTTACTGTTCCTCTTTCTTTTTTTGTTTTGATAAATATAAACAATAAAACACGTATTTTAGGGGCCTACAAGTCCTGGTTTTGACCAGGTATTCAGAATATCATCCTAAAATTGCCAAAAAGCAGACTATTTAGGCCTATACAGATATTGTAAACGCTAATTGTGCAAACCAAATTTTTTTTCCGTCCAAATAAAAAGCATCTTATCGATAATCAACACAAATCATCATATCAGCATTGAAATGTACATAATAAATAAAGTTAAAGGCCTCCCTTTTTCTGGTTGCCATAAAAGTTATAACATTTACATTTGTTACAGTTCACAGGATTCCTTTCGTTACACCAAACTCCAACTCCCGTTTTTGCTCAGAACGGAACTTGATGGATTTCTGGAAAAGTTCATTTTTCTTTTTCTTTTTCTTTCTATATTTTAACCCCCTCAAAACAAGTCCGTGTCAGAAAACACTGCTCATGCCTTTTTTTCATTGTCCATAACATATTTACATGCATGTCAGTATTCAAGTCAGTTAAAAAGAGTCTTGAGGGGTTACATGGCAGTGGCGTGTGCAGATGAATATGGGTCTATCCCAGTCTTGGTCATACCTGGAAAAAGTATGTAGGCCACCGGGGGCTGTAAACTTGAAGCTGACCAGGCTGTGCAGTTACACGGGACGACGTAGCCCGGGTTTGTGGGCGACGGGTGGGTGTGGGTGTGCTGACTGGGGCACCCAAGGGTGCCGAACGCGCCGTTCTGGTATCCCAACGAGGACGCGTAGGGCAAAGTGCTGGTGCTCAACGTGTGGGGCATCTCCGTCATCTTCTGGATGGCGCTGGAGCTGAACTGACTCGGGTCAAGGAAGGAGTACGGGGCGGATGTCGGCGGCAGAAATGCCCTGGCTTTCTCCGAGGAGCCCAACAGAGAGTCTGCAGCCGAAACTGGGAGTCCCTTCAGGTGATCGGTGTCCCCGAGGTAAGGCAAAGGGAAAACATACCGGTCCTTCTTGAGCAGGTTTTTGGGTTTGCGCCTCGGTCTGTACTTGTAGTCGGGGTGCTCCTTCATGTGCTGCGCCCTCAACCTCTTGGCCTCGTCGATATAAGGTCTCTTCTCAGACTCTGAAAGCAGCTTCCACTCGGCGCCAAGTCTTTTGCTGATTTCCGAGTTGTGCATTTTGGGGTTCTCCTGAGCCATTTTCCTCCTCTGGCCTCGGGACCAGACCATGAACGCGTTCATGGGTCTCTTGATATGATCGGCAGGCTTTGACATCTTAAAACTAGACTTTTATCCACAACGACTATGACAACGACAAGTTATTATCGAAAGAAAGGGGAAAGTGTTCACGTGTCTAAATGCCAGTTACCGGTCATGCCACGATGTTCGGTGTCTGTGAAACAGCGAAAAGAAAAAAGGTGAAAAGAGAAAAGGAAAAAGAAAAAGAAAAATCCAGCGTGTGGTTCTTTCCGAGTTAAAACACTAATTTGTGTTCGCTGAAGTCCGCTTGCAACTCTTGTATCAGACCCCGCGACAGAAAAATACACGCGCAAAATGCACAAAAAGAATCCACAAAGGTGAAAGCGATGTTCCACGTTAAGTTTGCAGGAGTCATAAAACTGTCCTGTGTTATTATTATTTTTTTCTGTCACCGCTCCTCTCTCTGAGGTTTGTCGTCAAGCACCTGGCTTGGAAATGAGCGGAAGAGCGTGAATACGAGCCAAAAGCGGTGAAGTTCAAAGGCTGGGCTGGTTTGGTTTCTGCACGCAATCTGACATAATCTGCAGGGCGTTCACTCACCAACCTGAGCGCCCAATCAGCACTGAGACCGGCTATTATAATACCTTCATGAAAAAAATATAGGCTATGTAGATTACAACATAAACAAAAGCAGGGTGGTAGTGGAAGACAAAAAAAAAAGTAAATGGGGTGTGTGTGCTTGTGTGGATGCGCGTAGTTGTGTACAGAAAGAGATAATACGGAGAATTGTTCCACAGTCCCATTCAATGCATTGAATCGTGACAAACACAGACCTCTAACCTATTTGACAAAGGTTTTAAAAGGGATTTTAAAACTAACTATGCTGTTCTTACATGGGGTAGGATTCTTTCCTCAAAAATGGCTATTCATCTGTTCTGTGTCAACTTTATAAGACTATTACTACTAGACTACAGTCAATAGTAGCAATGATTACTAATAGCAATACATCAACTACAACTGTTGCTGCTACTACTAATTACAACTAATGATGACAATAGTAAGAATAGAATGGAGTAGATATCTTAAAATAAATAAAATAAAAAAATACAAAATGATCATAAGAAAAACAGCAAACAGTTTATCTATAGCCAACCACTTCATCGGAATTTTAGTGGGATTTATTAAAATGAAGAAATAAACTATAAGAGAAATGTAAAAATGGCGCCTGTTATAAGTAACAAGATACCGTTTTTCCAATTTTATTATTATTTTTTTAAATGTCGAAATCGAAACATGCCACCTTAAAAGATAAGGATAAATAAAAATTTTCAATAAAAGAAAAATCAAATACAAAATTGTATGTGTGTGGGGGGGAGAGGGGGGGGGGGGGGGGGGGGGGGGGGGGGTTGCACACAAGCGCACGCCTGTGTCCTGCACTTGCTGTCGATAATCGGAACCTCTGGTAAACTCAACTACATTTTCAGAGAATTACAAACACATCTTACATCAATTACAAACGTTCGGAAAAGACGATCGACAGCCCAGCCTGTAGTTGTGGCACAAGTTCACTGGTTTTTTTTTTAAGGAGGAGCATAATGATCTTTTTAAAATGCAAATTTAAAAAAGGACTAGTGCCTAATTGCCCTCGGGCTAATGTGCTTGATATATGATTCTTTCAGCTGTGATTATTAAACGAAAGGATACGCTCTCTCACACACAGAAAGACACACACGTATGTGTTTAAATGTTGTGATTGGAGATCGTTTTCAGTCTTATGTGTCTATTTGAGTTAGTTACGCTGTAGATGTATTTAAGGTCGTCTTTGGCCTGTACTTGTAGATATCTACATCAACCTTTGTGCCCGCCCAAGTGCGTAAAGCCGGACGCTTATATGGGGTGTCAATTATCCTTACCTCATACTTCTTCTCTGTTGACTGATGCACGAAGTTTCTTCATTTTTTTTGTTATTAACATTTTACCCTAATGCTTCCGTGTATAGTATATTGGCATACTGGCATTATAAAACACCAGAAAAAAAAAGTGACATGGCTAACAACACTTTTTTGGAGGGGTTCTTGTGCAGACATTGTAAAGTCTGCCAACTTGACATTATGTCCGGGGCCCCGACTCGTTTTATTGTCTTTGCCAGGGGGAAAAAACAGACACTTTCCATACGTCTTATGTCCCTTAAAAAAAAACATATTTCAACCCCATCTGTGTATCTCTCTCTCTCTCTCTCTCTCTCTCTCTCTCTCTCTCTCTCTCTCTCTATCTCTGCTCCCCGTTCCCCAACGTACGCATGCGTCATTCAGCAGCTTGTAACAAGAAGATTTCCATCGAATCATTTTCTTGCAATTCCTATAGGATAATCGTTAAGAAAACTGCGAGATTTCCGGAAAAATCATTATCCTCACATACACCCCTGACTTTATTTCCTTTCCGTGTTTTTTTTCTCTCTTTTAATTCCCAATGCAAGAACCGACCTGCATGCAAACAAACGACGCATCTGCTCCAGTTGTCCCAATCGCCCGGCTAATATGATATGTTCATGTGCAACCTCGAGGTAGTATGCCGCTTGTTTTGCACTGTAGCTTATATTTCGGCCTGCATTGAACTTTTAAATTGCCGTGTGCTATCTATCACAGAGCAGCGTGTGCAATTTGACATGTGGCGTTTAGGCTACCGCATACCCGCACCGGCTTAGACTTCATTTGAGATCAATGAATTAGATAACGGTAAATTATTTTAGGAGCTGAGCCTCCATACTCACGAGGGAGAAGTCAGCTATGTTTCTTATTCAAAAACTGATTGTCTTCTAAACGCGCGCCTCAAAGTTCCCTCGACAATTTAACCGAATAATGAGAAATGCAGTAGGTTTTGATTTGTCAAGGACTAAGATGATTAGTATTTCCATCTGCATTTTTATTCTCAGGTTCCTTTAATATGCCCCATATTCTGCATTCGGCTCTGTTACTATCTGGAATAGTTATACAAAGACAATAAATATATGAGACTAGTTTGGGTTTTTGCTTCTGGATGGGCGTCACCATGTGAAACCCCCTCTCCATGTCCAGACTTTAGGTAATTGCAAATGTCAACATATA